CAAACCAAGGCAGAGGGAGCCCTAAAGGCAGCAACACAGAGATGCATTGAGAGGATTAACCCTAAAAGTCAATAGGCTTTATTTTCCCCACAAACAACATCAGTGCTAAAAACAAAGCAAAACAAAACAAAACAACTCCTCCCTTTTGGGTGGATCCCTTCTGTCACCTCCTTGCCCTTGCTGGGTATGTCACTGGGAGAGTCTAGAAGGGAGGAGGCATTTTCTGACAAACCAAGAGGACAGCACCAGTACCCACTTCTTAGAAATGGTTGTCCTGCTTTATAGGGATACATCCTAGCTACGTACACATTCTTTCGGAAATGAATGCCATCCATATCACACTTACTATTTTTATGATTTTTTTTTCTTTGAACAATAGTTCCTGCATATTTTAATGCCATGGTATCTTCTCTATCTTGATTTCATAAGAGAGTAAGTGCATAATAGACTGTCAAAGTTGATGTATGGTCATTTATTTACTGGTACCCTGTTTTTGGACACATAGGTTATTCGGAATTATTTGCCCGTATATAAACAACATTGTAATGAACATCCTTGTAGTTCTGCCTTTATCTGCATCTGTGGTTACCTTCAGAAGTAAGTTTTGAGAATAAAAAATAAATTTCAAGAAATGGAATAACTGGGTCAAGTCATATAAAATGTAGAGCCTTTTGATATCCACTGGTAGGTGCTCAGGACATTCTTTGGAATATTAGTTTTCACTATCTGAATTCACAGAGGATACAGGTATACAGTTTGGGTGGCTGAGCTGATGGCCTGACCCTAGGTCATGTCCCGTGAATGACTACCAAACTTCGGGGCAGGGGGAGCAAGGTGACTGATGGGTAAACATCGATCAACACAGATGAAGGGCGAGGGATAGACTTACTGAGCCAGTATCATAAAGCAGGAGATGGCATGTGTCCTCCCAGATGGGGAGAACGGCCCGCCGGATCCCCAGTGTACCCACAGGGACATACAGTTGAGGACAGTTGTTTCCACGTGGTATGAGAGGTACACCAGGGACAGGAAGCTGTCCTGGATGCTCCCCCAGGCAGAGCTGTATATCCCCGCCCCCCTCCCCTACTATATGCCTGCCTGTCCTCAGTGCAGGTCGCTGGTGCCGAAGAAGCAGACAGACCCTGCAGGTCTGCTCAGGGTCAGGGTGAAGGGTGGCTCATGTCCCCAGAAGCATCCTTCTGCAGTGCCATCCTCGCACCCTGCAAGTGAGAGTGTTTTTAAAAATCAAACTCTCTCTTTGGAGCTGCTTTTCTTATCTATGACTCTTTTCTTCTAAAAACCCAGACCGGAAGCGTCCTTGGATGATCATAGCCTTTGCCCCTCTCTCTCAGGACGTTGCTGGGCCCAGTGGAGCTACTGTGTTGAGAGGCAGCTGCTCCGTGTGGACCAGGGGGAGCTGGTGCTTCCTCCGCCCTGCCTGCCACCACCCAGCTCCGCTGTCACCCTGCACCTGGCCACCTGGAGGGGCGGGGAGCTGGAGAACCGGGAGGAGCAGTGTCTCTACGTGTCTGCACCCCTGGAACTCAGGCCTCGAGTCAGGTGGGGGCACGAGAGCAAACTCCTGCAGCAATGATGTCCCTTCGGCCACCGTTTACCGAAGAGCCAGGGCAGGAAAGGCTTCCTCAGCCCAGATGTGAAGAGGGAAGAGGAATTAACTTGGCAGCAAAAGGGGGGCTGGAGAGGGAATATGGGTGACAAAGGGAGGAGCACAGAATAAGCCAGAAGTGAAAGAGGCTGGTGTGGCTCATATGGAGGGGGACAGGGGAGCAAGAAGAAACGAGGGGAACAGGCAGGGCCTGGCTCTGGTGGGACCGTGTGGGTTATAAATAAAGACATGATTCTGAAGAGTTCTGGAAAGCCACCCAAGGGTTGCAAGCAGGCTGGGGACATGATCTTTCCTAGTACAGAACGCTGTGGCAGCAGGGTGGAGAGCAGGCTGGAGGAGGGCAAGAGCGGGCTCAAGGAGATTGCTTGAGCTCTTGCATCAAAGTGAAGGTTGAAGGAAGCTTGGTCTATTGGGTGGGGTCCAGACAGAGAGACGTGGGCAGGGATAAGGGAACAAGCCAGGGATGACAGTGCAGGACTACAACAGGAGGAAGCCACTCTCCCTCTGAGGACTATAGAGGTGAGCAGGGGGATGGTGTCCCGGGAACCCTGGGAGCTGCAGCTGTAGGGGAGGCGGCCCCCAACAGGAGCTGTGGGCTTGGTTGGAGGAGCACAGCCACGGCCAACAGCAGCCCACCTGCTAAGGAGCAGGGACCGTGGTGAATAAATACCCTCCCGCCCTCCCATTGTTACCTTCTGATCCCCAGCCAATGCCTCCCATTGCTGGACCCAAGCAGAAGCCAGCCGGCACAGGAATGTGGGTGACACAGTCCACAGAGATTAGCCTCCTAGTGTCCAGGGCCACGGAGTTGATGGAGAGCAGGCTGTGGGGACAAATAGAGAATGTCCAGCACACCAGTGTTAGGACAGACATGAAGACAGGAGGGAGATTGCCAGCTGCTATGCAGTTACAACTGAGAGGTCCCGGGGATGGGCTGGACCCACGGCAGGTGCCAAAGGGATCTCTCACTGGCTCAAGGGAGGGAGTGGGATGCTATAGAGAAGGCCCTGGAATCAAACCTAGACATGCTGGTTTGTGTTGCCCTCCCCCACTCAGGAGTCGTGTGACCGGGAACAAATCACGCCAGCTCCATGAGCCAGGTTTTCTGGCTCTGACAAGGGGATTCTAACATGTGGCTCCTAGGGTTGTGGTAAGCACTGGATGAGGGAGTAACGATGCAAATCATTTATAACCTGTGGCACGCAGGCAATAAAACCACAGTATTCCTTTATTATTGGAGCTAGAGGGAGTCACAGAAATCGTTCTTAACTCCCCATTTTGCAGGTGAGGAAACAGACTCAGAGAGTTTAAGTGACTCATACAAGGTGACCATTCACAAGAGGCAAGGACAGTATCTGAGGACCCTGGACTTCATGCACTTTCCACACCACTGTCCTGCACGCTGAATGAAGTGGGAATTCGGTCAGGCACAAGTCCTCTCCTTGACCAACGTCATAGGTCCTGGTTTGGGTTGGGGCAGGGGTTGCCTTTATTCCATCTTCCACCAGAAGAAAGGCCCTGTGCCACCTTCTCAAAGGACTTGAGAAGAACCGGACAAAAGACCAGCCCAGGAGGCCTGAGTGAGCTTCCTCACTGCGTTCTGTCTCCCTTTCAGCTGCGAGGAGAACTGCAGACCTGGGAACCCCAGGGAAGACACTGTGCTCAGAGTCACCATGGGGGATGGCTCCCCAGGGGCCGTGTTCAACTGGTATTTAGATGACACCTCGCTGGAGAAGGTGAGGACACTGGCAATCACCCACTCTGACTGACCAGACCTGTGTCGCATGTCCAGTACTGAGCACCCCGGAGGGTGGGGGTTGGGGGGTGTTCCCCAGAGGAAACCCAGGTCATTGGTCAGAAGGGAGAGTGGATGCAAGGGAGCAAAAACAATGGAGAAACATCAGAGCAGATGCTACGGGTGCCCCAGCCCGGTCCCTCTTACTAGGCTGATGCATGGTCCCCACCTGCTGTGGAGTGACCGCTGGCCAATAACTGATGGCTGGGGGTGTCTAACGGCCCAGGCCCCTTGCCTCTGACAACCTCTGTGGTGTGGCTGTCACTTCCTGTGGGATCAGGCTGAGGCTGGCTGGACACCTCCTGAAATCACTTCCCTGCCTAGTTCATTCTGTGCCCTACTCTGCTTCCCTCTTCCCTCTGGTTCTCCCAAGGGCCCTCCCGCAGGAAATGACCTGCCCGTGAATCCCCATCTCAGGTTCTCCTTCAAGGGAAACTGACCTCAGACAATCACCTAAGCAAGGCTGGAAATTGGGTCTCTGGGCTGACTTGGGGAAGCGGGTGGTGCCTTTGCCGCAGAGACAGATCTGGAAGGCCTCCCCAGGGTAAGGAGCCACTGCCCTGCGGATGTCCAGCAGCCTGGCTGCAGCCTCGGGGGCTGTGGGTGGTGTTCTCTTTCAGGCGGAGCCTCTCCCACCCGCCTGCAGACTTCAAGGATTTTGGCCCAGGGCTTTAATCCTCCTTCAGAGCAACACGTCCACGCTGCGGCTGAACAGCTCCTTCCTGCAGACCTGGGACCAGGCCCTCCGAATCAGAGCCACAGGTGCGGAAGGCTCCCCGCAGGCCCCGGCACGGCTTCCGCCTGTCTGCCGAAAGCGAACCAAGGCAAACTCAGAAACCCAGAAACGTGGGACATCAGTGCAGGGTCAAGGGCCACATGCAGAGTCTGGTGTCAGCCCCATCGCCACCACTTTCTAGCTGGCGGCAAGGCATTTAAACTCTCCGTGCCTCCATTTCCCGCATCCAAACTGCACTATGCAGGGTGGATGAGACAGATCATTCTGGTGCAGTCTGCGTGTCCTGCCAGGTCGTTCTCACCTTAAACAAGCCAGTGCGGTGGGAAATGTAGATTCTCAAAAAGACAAACAACGGGGGATTACTCTTCCAGATACATTCAGTTGTTCTCAAAGTGGCCCACGGACCACCCACACTGGGACAACCAGGGATACTGGTTTAAAACACACACTCCAAGGCTTGCCCCAAACTTTCTGAGTTAGGTCTAGGCCAAGGAATTCATTTTAACCGATTAAAATTCTCTTCGTGCCCAGCTCTTCCAGGCACATACTCTTTTTGAAGTGTCAGGTGGTGAGGGATGCTGGTGCAGGTAACTGTGGGCTCTTCGCGGTGCTGTGGAGGCCTGGAAAGAGCGTGGCTTTGGGTGGGGTCAGCCCATTTCTAGATTCTGGCTGTGGCCCTTCCTACTAGCTCTGTGATCTTGAGCAAGTCCTTTCATTTCCCAGTATACTTCCTCATCACCACAACTGCAAGGAAGCTGCTAATATTAGCCCTGTTTTACAGATGAAACACTGACTCTCAGACTGTGAGATCCTGGGGTGCCTGGGTGGCTCAGGCGGTTAAGTGTTCGATTTGGCTCAGGTCACAATCTCACGTCACGGTTCTTGAGTTCGAGCCCCACATTGGGCTCTGCGCTGAACGGCTCAGAGCCTGGAACCTGCTTTGGATTCTGTGTCTCCTTCTCTCTCTGCCCCTCCCCCTCTTGTCCTCTCTCTCTCTCTCTCTCAAAAATAAATAAACATTAAAGAAAAAAAAAGAGTCCCACAAAAGTGAGACCCCAGGATACCTGCATCAGGGGGAGTTGTCAGATGTGCAGATTGCTGGGCCCCACCCCAGAACCTCCAGAGAGGTCTGAGGCTGGGGGTCAGGAGAGGAGCCTGGGAACCTGCATGTTTAACAAGCTCCCGGGGTGATCCTGAAGCATGGTGGAGTTTGGGTGACTCACACAGCCCCCCAAACACCCTCTCTCTTCACTCCCCAGCAGTGACCGGGCATGCCTATGGGGAGGACACCTATGTGATCGGCTCTGTGTCTCCCCCCGAGGTGCCCACCTGCACCATCACTCCAGAGGAGGGTACCGTTCTGACAAGCTTCGCCATCTTCTGCGACACATCCTCGGCCCTGGGCCCCCTGGAGTACTGCTTCTGTCTGGAGTCAGGTACTGCCCCAGGGCTGTGCTCTCCCCTGAGCTGCTAGGCTCCGTTTCTCCCAGAACAGGGGCCTGTCTCCCTCTGGGAGCTGCAAAAAGTATGTTCCATGTGTGAGAGACGTTTGCAGAATGAAGACCTCCCCCAACTACACCTTAGCCCCACTCCAGGCACACTGACCCAGTCACACACCCAGGGAGAGGCGAAGCTGGCCCCATCGATATCTCCTCCATGGCTATAGAGGCCAAAATGACCTCTGCCCTGGCATAAAAGACGTGGAGGGGGTTAAATGGATGAGAATATGCAGAGGTGTGACCACTGAAGGCCTCGACTAGAGAAAGGTGGACACAAGCAATCCTGAGGCCCAGAGAAGGGTGGTTTTCATGGGGTGCCAGTTAAGCAGATGTGGAATGCAGGGATGTTCAGATGGCTGTGACTGGGTCTGAACCTGGAGGGAGTCAATTCACAGAAGGAAAGTAGGTTCCATGTCGAACCTGCATCCCCCCCCAGATGGAGGCCGGCTAGCTGCTCTAACTCCAACTGGTTGTTCCAACTGGTTGCTCACACAGGTGAGCAAAGGGGCAGGGAAGTGAAACCATGTAAAACTCAGCTGTGAGTTATAATTCAGTAACTTCATGATTGTCTGCACATTACAATGATTAGTGATTCCACTGAGGGGGGAGGTCTCCTTTAAGGATAGGAAAGATATGCATTCATTCATTCATTCAACAATAAATATTTATTATACCTCAGGCTCTTCCAGGTGCTAGATACATAGTAGTAAACTCCACAGGGCAAGTCCCTGACCTCCCTGTGTTACAATTAGTGGTGGAGACCGTTGGTAAATAAAGACATAGGACAGGGGCGCTGTTTAGATACACCAACCTGGGAAGGCCTTTGTACAGGAAGTGACTTTTGAGTGAGCTTCGATGTTTTGAGATAATTTTTAAGATCGCCTCCTGCCCTCTTCTTCCTCCTCCTTTTTGTAACTTGGTTTACCTCCTGAATTTCTTTGTAAACCTGTAAAGAGGAATTTTTTTTTTAATTTTTTATGGATTCTAGTAAAATTATTCCAAAGTCATAGCAGCACACAATTACCTACAGAGACTAGGGGATCAGTATAGATGGCTGTCGTCTCTCTGAAAGCACAGAGTCGTTGAGTGCTTGCCACGTCTTTATGAGCTGTGGCTTCTGTGTCCTTGTCATCAGGCTCTACCTTGGTGGGTTTCCTGTCTCCCCAGGGCCTAGAGATGCCGCCCTAACTGTTCAGTTTCCATTTACCAGGTTCTTGTCTACACTGTGGCTCTGAACCTGCCCTCCAGTCAGTTTATCTGCCACTTGGAAAAGTAAACAATGAGTTCATGCTGACAGTGGTCATTTTTGTGTCCAATCGGGCAGGGGACAAACAACAGGCCCATGCACTGGTGAAGGTAGGTGGCAGCAGCCTTTGTTTCTTTCCTGAGAAAACTTGTTACCCAACTGAACTTCCCCAAAAGGGTGGCTGGGTTGAAGGGAGCTAAGGGCATGACCATATGAATCACTGATCCATTCATTCCTTCAACTAGTATTTTCAGAGCACCTGCTCTGTGCCAGGCCCTGGGGACACAGATGTGAACATGGCCACTACCTTTGTAGATCTTACATCTCAGTGGCCAGAATAGTGCCCTGGAGTAATGCCCTGGAGGCTTGGAGAAGGAGGACCCAGAGATGAGTCAGACCAGTGCCATCAGAGTCCAAAGGAAGGAGGGCCAAAATCAGCCATCAGGGCTACATGGCAGAGACTGGATTAAATCTGGGTAAATTTCAAGGGTGAGAGGCCAGGAGGAGCAGGAAGGGACTGGGGGAACTATGAGGAGGGCAGTGAGGGGGAAGCAGCGACTTATCCAAGGCTTGGTTTCAGTGGCCGTTGGATGCCTGCTACAAGCGGGCCCGGCTGCCCTCAGCCTCGGGAGAGACCCCAGGCCATGTGCAAAGCCTTCCCGTCATGCTCTGGCCTGCCTTGTGGAGACTGCGACTTCAGGCTCCGGATTCTGGAACAAGGACTGGTGAGTTCAGGGCTTCCCTGCGCTGAGCATGTTTCCTGTTTCCCGGTCAGGTGGGACTTGGAGACACCCACGTTGAGAATGTGGCATTCCAGGCTGCAGTGGTGGAGAACATCACCACCGCTCTGCGAGGCGAACGGGACCCCGAGCGGCTCTTCCAGCTGGCCAGGGCCGTGGCATCGGTGCTGGACCAGGAGTGCCAGGGGCGGGGCTGCAGGCGGCTGCTGAACGTGGACGTCAGACAGAAGGTGCTCAAGATGGGGCCCTTTTACACTGTCCACTGGGGCCCCGGAGTCTGGGGTGGGGAGTGGAATTTATGGAGCTGTGGAGAAGACTTTGGCATCTCCTGAGCTGTTGATGTCACTTCCCTCTTCTGGTCCTTTCACTAAGTGACCTGAAGTGATGGAAACCTGCTTTCCTTGCTCTTCCTGGAGTCAAAGCCTTCTAGGGAAGGAAGGAATTTAAGAGTCTTGCTCCAATCCCTCCTGTCAAAGGCGACAAAACTGAGGCCAGAGGAGAAAAGTGGCCTGGCCCCAGTCATATGGTTAATGGGTTGGGGTCAGACGTTAGACGTCATCCCACTTCTGTCACTTTCCATCTATATTGTCACAGGCTGGTGAATGAACTTCCCTAAGCCTCAGGTTCGCCACTGGAAAATGGGGATGATAAATAGTGTTTACCTGATAAGGTTAGGTCAAACCATTTGAAGTTACCAACATTCAACCATTTTTAACCCACAAAATGGCCATTTCGTGTGTTACAACCTGACACGATAAACAACTATTGTAGAACATACGATTACCTCTACTCCTGGTGCCTGCTATATGAGTGCAGGCACGTGTGGGTGCAGGTACACACAGGTGCACGTGCACGCACACGCACACACACGCACAGTAGCACATACACCTGCTGGGCATGAAGAAGAAAAGAAAGACTTTTCTGGTTCCCTGAAGGGTTTGCAAGAAAAGTACTTAGCATGGTGCAGGACACGTGGTAAGGACTTAATACAAAGAAGTGGTGGTTGTCATAGTGATTACTTATAGATAAATGACGTTTATTGTGCACCTACTAGGTGCTGTCGGCTCCAAGAGCTTCATAGATATGTAATCCTCGTTAAAACCCTACAAGGTAAATGGTGAGATCCCCATCCATGTTACAGAAGAGGAAACAGAGTAAGAGAATTTGAACAGCTTTCCCAGGCCCACATTTCTAAGTAGGTGGTGAAGACGGGGTTCCAATGCAGACCGGCTCTTCCCCAGTCTACCTCCCGCCCTCCCAAGTCTCTCACCCCTTCCCTGAGTTCACATTAGTACCTCCATACACCCCCAGAACCCACCACCTGGTTCTCAATCTTGGTTGCTTTCACTCTGAACATTACCCATGGTAGACTTGCATTTGGATGTCCTGTGGTTCCCTGAGCACACAGACTAGGCAGCCCGACCCAGGGTCTCCTCATGAAAAAGTGGGGTCCTGGCAGCAGGCAGGTGTAAAACTCTAATGCGGTAACTGAGAAGACTTTAAGAAGGGCTCTGTTGATAAAAGTTGGGGCTCGGCCTGAAGTGAACAGAATCCAGAGGGAGCCACTGCATGTGGAGGGGCCCCCTGGGACAAGCAGTGGCTTCTGAAGAATGAGGCCGTTGACCAACCACAGTGGACTGGCAAGGAGGCACCGGGAGTATAGCTTCTAGCTCTCTCTCCTCCAGTCCTCTCATCTCCTGCTGCATGAGTCCACCGACAGAGAGTCAGGAGCCAGGGGCATCTCCACGGAAGCTGCCTCCAGGACAGTGACCAAGGCAGGAGGGAAGATCCACAGAGGCAAACATGACTTAACCTTCCAGAACACCTGACAAGAGTCCCCTCATATACTGGCCTTTTCTTTCCTCCATCCAAGCCATAGCCTGGATGCATCCTGACTTAATAGCAGACAGGTTCAAACTCTGCAGCTGCCATGAAGGGCCGTCAGACAGGTAGGCTGAGTGAGCCGTGAGGAGCAGGCCACAGAGGACTAGTCACTCAGATCTGGGCTGTGCCAAATGGTTGCCGCTCGCTTATCTAGGAACTCACAGCTAAATTAAATGGATTAAAATGGGGTGCCTGGGTGGTTCCGTCAGTTGAGCATCTGATTCTTGATTTTGGCTCAGGTCATGATCCCATGGGTTGTGGGAACTCTGTGCTGAGCAGGAAGCCTGCTTAAGATTCTCCCTCTCTCTCTCCCTTCCTCTGCCCCTCTCCCCTGCTCATGCCCTCTCTAAAATAAAATAAAAAAAAAGAAAGAAAGAAAACGAAAAGAGAAAAACTTAGAGATGAATTAAAATGAAGCAAAGTTTAAAATTCAGTTCTCCAGCTGCCCTGGTCATGTTTCAAGGGCTCAGTAGTTGCATTCGGTGAAGGGATGGTGCAGAGACAGGACCTTCCATCAATGCAGAAAGTTCTATGGGGCAAGTGCTGAAATTATCTTCTTAGTTCTTGTGTGTAGCTGTCAAGGCCGGTCCCCGGCCCCTGTAAGGGCTCTGTGGCTTAGGAGACACAGTCCCCAGAAGCCTCTCCACTCCTCCCTCCAATTTCAAAGCCAGCACCTCAACATCTTCAGACCCTTCATTCCCTCCTCCCTCCCTCCCCAAATTTCCCCTCCTCACTTCCTTTTCCTTCCTCCCCCACCCTATTCTCCACCTCTGCCTCCACCCACACATCTCCTTCTCTCTGACCCTCCTACCTCCCTCTTACAAAGACCCCTGTGATGGCAGTGGCCCCATCTGGTTAATCCAGATATGCTCCCATCTCAGAACCTCTCACTTAATTAAAACTCCAAAGCGATTTTGCCAAAGTCCCTTTTGCCATGTGACGTGACATACTGACAGGTTTCAGAGATTAGGATGTGGACATCTTTGGGAGGCCATTCTTCTGCCCACCACACAACCTATGAAGCAAACAGAGGTCTGCGGGCTTTGGAAAACCCCAGATGAGCCTGGTCACTTGCTGTGACCCCAAATCTTTCTGAGACAGAAATTACATTTCTTCTTCCTCCCTCTGCATCAGGTCAGAGAGCACATGCTGGGGTCACTGTCTGCGGTCACCGCCACCCTGGGGGACATGCAGAAGGTGCAAGGGCTGGCCCAGGTTCTGAGAGAGGTGACCCACCGCAGTGAGGAGCTCACACCCACGGCCCAGGTGAGTGAGGCCCCCTGCTGACCCGGGCCGAGCATGGGACACACACCTCTGCAGTGGGTAACTGACGACCCTCCTCAGGTCGACGGTCCCTCAGTCACGGGGCCACCAAAGCTCCCACCATTTGGTTTCCAAGGGTCCTGCATGGGTGGTGCCCAGAAAGAAAAGACGTCCTCCCGCAGCCCCTGTGTCTCATTCTGGTGTCCCAGCCGGGGTGCTCACACACCCCACTCCCCGACCTGCCAGTGGCACCCCAAGGGAGCAGCTGACTCTAATCACTGAGGGACACTCCAGTGTGTGCCCAGATCCTGCTGCTAACCCACCCATGTTCCCCGTAAATACACCACTGACGTCCAGCTGCCAGCTCCTGCCCTTCTTTCTTCTTCGACCCCCGCCCCACCAGCCCACTCTGCCTGCCCACACCTTCAATCCTTGCCTCAGGGTCTGCCTCCTGGAGAACTCAAATGAAATCACCATGCTCCCAGTGAAATGGTAGCCAAGGGTTCAAAATGGAGCCCTAAGCAGGGAGGGGAGAGCTACCCTGGCTGTGCTTCACCTACTGTCAGGAGGTGGAGCCCCTCACATTCTCCAGCCTGGAGCCAGCAAGGCTGACCTTTATTTCTGAGGCCACGATGCTTTTAACATCACACTTGCCATTTACACACCCATTTGCTCATCCATCCGTTCCATACGCACGCATTGATTCGGTACCTGTGTACATCCGCCCCTCCACCCTTCCATTCGCTTATCCAGACACTAATTTACTCATTCATTCAACAAATGCTTCCCGAGTGCCTAGTATATACCAGGTACTGTGCACACACCAGGCACTGAGAATTCAGCAAGTCACACAGACATAGCTTCTACCCTTGCGGCATTTTCAGACTACTGGGGCAGCAAGAATTTACACAAATACACACAGAATCACAAAACTGGAATAAGTGTCTTGTCCATTCATCTATCCATCCACCACCCATCCATCCATCCACCACCCATCTATCCATCCATCCATCCATCCATCCATCCTTCCATCCATCCCCCCCAGTTAGGGAATGTTTACTGCTATGAGCTAGGCGTGTGCAAGGCACTCTGGAAAGACTCAGAGATGGACTAGGGTACTCTCCTGAAGGAACTTCGCACATTGTGGGAAGGAGAAGCTGACCTCAACTGAGTGACACGGGCAGCCTGTGCAATGGGCCCAGATTTTCCCTAGTTTATCTCCCCACCCTGCTCCCCTCTACTGCAGCCCTTGTCCTTGGAATGGTGCAGGGGCTGGTCTGGCTCAGGAGGGGCTCACGTTGCTTTCCCTTCCCCTTTGGGTGAGCCCAGCGGGAGGCCACCTGGGTTCTGCAGGATGCCAGTGAAGCTCTGCTGGCAGCGAGCTCTAAGGCCCATCCTGAGGACCAGAGGCGCCAGGCGGCCACCAAGGACCTGTTTCAGGCCGTGGGCAGTGTGCTGGCAGCTTCCCTGAGGGACGGACCGGAAAACCCTACCGGGGCCAACGGCAGCCAGGTAGGTGTTTCAGCCCAGATGCAGGCCTCCCGGCTACCACATGCCCGCTCACACCAGCCTTTCTAGATGGGTCTTTCTCTTCATCTTGCAGATGAGGAAACTGAGACACAGGGGCTAAAGTCCTCTCTAGGGAACTGGAAGAAAAGTTCCAGAGACCAGAGCTTCTGGGAGCCAGTGTGGTATACTAGGCAGAGCACAGGCTTTGGAGCGAGGCAGCCTGAGTTCAAATCCTGCCTCTGTCACTTTCAAACCTTGAGACTTGGGCTGGGTGCATGACGACTCTCGGCCTCATTCCTCATCTGTAAACTGAGGCAACCCGCCACCTCCCAGATAAGCCACCAACTGGTGAGATCACACGTCCACCCTCCCGGTTCTCAAAACACAGAACGCTGTTAGAACAGAGGCAGCCTCTGGAGTGAGAACGGACGTGGCACTGTCTCATACGGCCCCAGCGCCCTGACGGGCCACCAGGGGAAGGGCCTCCCAGGATGGCCTCACGATGGAGCTGAAGGCCCATCACCTTCACCAGGTGGGGCTGTGTCACGTCTACTCAGGAGCACACACACACACACACACACACACACACACACACACACGTTTATGTTCCAATACTTATACTCACACATACCCTCAAACACACATTCGTACACAGACACACAATCACACAGATACTCACAAATACATACACACTTAAGTCTTTATATTCACGTCACCCTTAAATACATACGTTCGCATCCACTCAGTCATGTCCTCTCTCTCACACACACACATACACGCACACGTGTAATCTGTGCCCCAATAGGAACTCTTTGCAAACGTCCAGCCCTTCCCGGATCCTTGACCTCAGTGAGCCCACATCCTCATCTGGGGGTTTGGGTGGGGTGAGCAGCAGTCCAAGCCCAGGTGACCCTGTAAAATGGCTCTGCCTGTGGCTTTCCATTTCCCCACAAATAAGACGTGGCTGTGGGTGGACGGCAGGGTCGGACAGAGCAGCACAGAGCGGCACAGAGCGTGACAGCCTAGCGCACGGACTCAGGAGCCAGATGCCTCTCCACCTCACCGTTGAGTCCTGGCACTTGCCTTTTTCCACATGTGACCTCCACAAGTCACTCATCCTTTACGTGCCTTTGTTTCCCTGTCTGCCACATGGGTAAGTGAGAGCACCTGCCTCACAGAGTTGTCGTGAGGATGAAAAGGGTTCACATAAGTGCTGGAATCTGTGCAAGTGTTACTCTTCATTCCCTACAGAGCCTGGCGCTCAATGAACGGCAGTGTTGTCCCTTGCTCACTCCTCTGCGCACCCCCATCCCCTGCCCAGTCCCTGCTGAAGGCCCCACACTAGCCTGGTGACAGTGAGCAAAGGTGGCATATGGACACAGGTCACAGCAGCATCCCCTGCTTCCTCTTCCAGATGGCCACCGTGCCCCAGCTGCTCGATGTTGTGGAGCGAGTGCAGGCTGCCCTCCTGCTGGGGACACTGCCTGGGGGCCTCCCGGCCACTCTGGCTGCCCCTTCCATCTCCGTGTACACGAACAGGTAACCAGCAGCACTGGCATCCCCAAGAAAGCCTGTCCCCTGACCTGGCTCGTTCCATAGCCACAGCCCGAGACCCTGTGACAGGCAGAGCCCAGGCAGCCAGCCTTGGAAGTGGGAGGGCTTTTCACCAAGAGAAGGTCCCCACGTTGGGTGCTTGTGCAGCGTAGGAGGGCAACGGCTGAGTCCACACCCCGTCTTGGAGCCACCCACAAGTCCTGAGAGTTGGGTCATGTGGGAGCCACGCAGGCAGGGAGGCTGAATGAAGGGGGCGTGCCCACCTTTAACCACATCCGGGGTGTGCCTAGCCAAGCCCGGTGCTCCCCAGAGCTGTGGGCTGGATTCAAGAGCACTTGCCCTGGGAGTTCATGGACCTGAGGATGCCCTCCGCCCTGCATTCCTCCCCCTGACAAGCAAGGGCTGGATCACACTGCAGGCCCTGCTGGGACACCTGCAGTGAGCACCCTTCTCTGATTCTCCATGCCAGGGTTACCCTCCTGGGTCCCAGGGGCAATTTCCTCAAGCAGCACTCTGACCAGAGCTAGGGTCTGAAACCAGGTCCCCAGTCTAATCAGACAGGACAATGGCAAGGGCCAGAGAAGATGGGGCTGGGAACCCATGATATCAGAGATCAAGTAGGTAGGGGAGCTAGGCCGAGAGAAATGCTCACATCAAAGCTCACTTATTCATTCAGCAAAGGATGTGTTGCCCCCACTGTGTGCCAGGCCCTCTTGTTGGCACAGGGGGTGCGCCCTTAAACAAAGCTGGCTAAAGCCCTGTCCTCACAGTGTGTGTGTGTGGGGGGGGGGTGTCGGCTACCTTCCATGCTGTTCCATTGACACGAGCGTACAGAACCGCCTTTGGGGACTGAAGCAGAGCCGCCTGCTCTAATGGTGATACCGGGGCTCCCGGCAGAGCAAGAACTCTTCCTCTGACACTGACTTTCCTCTCTCTCTCTCTCCTGGCACCTCTGCTCTCGCCTTGTGGCCAGAATACAGCCCTGGAACTGGCGGGGCTCCTCTGTGCACACCGCCGCCACTCACTCTGCGACCTTCACCCTGCCCGCGGCCTCCTCCCTTGGCTCCATGGAGGCCAGCCAGGAGCCTGTGGACATCAGGGTAACAACAGTAATGCCCTCCTCGGGAGCAGCCCTTTACAGCTTCTATGGCACTTGCACTCGCATGCGTGTTTGCTCGGTTATGTTGATGACGGCCCTTTCAATTACACATATTACTATGCCCATTTTACAGATGAGGCTCAGTGACCTGCCTGAGGCCACAAGCAAAATGGCAGGGCTGGGATGCAGACTCCCAAATCCATCCTTTTTCCACTGTGTGGAACTTCCCCGGCAGCCTCGGTTCAATTAGTTCCTGGAAGTAAAGTTCTTCGGACTTCGTTCCATAACTAGGAAACGGCAAGCCCAGGGCTCTTTTCACTCCCAAGTTAGGGCACATCTCTCTGTTCCTTCAGCCCCAACAAAGACAGACAAATATCTTTCTCTTGGGGACTCACTGGCTTTGCCAAGAAAAAAGGCTCAGATGGTTTTACAGTCCAGCAGCTGCACAACTCTAGCGGGTCTGAGCAGGTCCTCAGCCTTGAAAGGCAGACACACCCAGAAAGCCAGAACAACAGGGTCCCCCATTCACCCCAGAGAGCAAGGGCCACTTGTCCATCCCATCTTGGGAAACCCTGTCATTCACACAGGGACGCAGTCACCTTCCAGCCTTCAGGGGCCTTGGCCAGCACTCTGTGTTCTTGGTTTCAGATGATGAGTTTCCCAACGAGCCCTTTCCCAGCCCGAAGTCACTTTGATGTCAGTGGAACTGTCGGTGGCCTCTGTCTGACCAGCCCCAGTGGACATCTCATACCCGTGAAGAATCTGTCGGAGAACATCGAGGTAGAACTTGGGGGTGCTTTCAGAAGTCAGGTGTCACTTCTGTTTTCTTCTTCAACTTGGTTGGGACCAATAGTTGATTAAAGAGGAGAATCATTAAGAATGGTCCATACCCTGTCTTACACGTTGTATTTTAACTTAAAACTATAAATGTATATCATTGTCAATCTTGGGGTGTACAATTGAAACATTTCTTTCAATCTGTTGATTGGAATTCTAATCATTTTCATTACATTAACCACCCTTACATTGCAGGCTCTGAAATGTCCAATTTTCTCTAAAATGAAGCAAAAACATCAGGGCGCCTGGGTGGCTCAGTTGGTTAAGCATCTGACTTTGGCTCAGGTCATGACCTTAGGGTTTGTGAGTTCGAGCCCTACATCAGGATCTTTGCTGTCAGCCCAGAGCCTGCTTTGGATCTTCTGTCCGCCCCCCCTCCCCACCCCTCTCGCTTGCTCAAAAATAAATAAAAACATTAAAATGAAGCAAAAATATAAGTGCACCATGGTGCAATACAAGATCAGATCCTCTTGAGGATCTCTTGAGATTTTAGTGAGTTTTTTCCTAATCTAGTTTTCTCATCAATGACTAATTCAATACCAATGTTTAGCAATTCATCTTTCCTGTATCTCAAAGCATTCAGCTTAAGTTTTTATGCAAATAATTCTTTTCACACTAGTACTCTGTCACTTTATGTCACTCTGTGGAATACCTCATTAAAATTGACCTTTACAGGGGCGCCTGGGTGGCTCAGTCAGTTAAGCATCTGACTTCGGCTCAGGTCATGATCTCACGCTCCATGAGTTCAATCCCCGCGTCAGACTCTGTGCTGACAGCTCAGAGCCTGGAGCCTGCTTCAGATTCTGTGTCTCTCTCTCCCTGACCCTCCCTCATTCATGCTCTGTCTTTCTCTGTCTCAAAAAGAAATAAACATTAGAAAAAAAAATTTTTTTCAATTGACCTTTACAAACACATGTGGACATAAGCAGCTTTGGGATAAACACATGTGCCCACTGGTGAGCTCACACCTTGACTGGCAGGAGAGAGCTGTCATAGGCTGGGTTCTCTGGAAGCAGGTGCTGAGAAAGAGCTTGGGGTGCTAGATGTTTGCTGAGACCCACACCTGCAAAGAGGGAGGAAGGACAGCAGGACCGGGCAGAAGGAGGAGTCAGATCACAACCCAGACCTCACAAAGCCCCGGTCAACTCAAGGGGGTGTGCCGTACTTGTTACACCGTAACAAGTACCAGCCATTAGAATGATAATAATCATTATTATTAATGATTATTAATCATATCATTAATTAGAATGATAATAATCAGGCTTATTATTTTTTGTATGTTTTCATGTTTTGATATCTTAAAAATCTTGCTGGTGAGGAAGAAGTCTACACCTTTCATATGTAGACTAACCAACCCCAAGTCCATACCCCCAACAAGCCCCTTTATCTGACTCACACACCAAGTCAACATTTCCCCTGTCCTAAACCATCCCGAGGCCAGGTACCAGGCCACCAGATGAGACCATTCCTATAGTCCCAACCCTGCTGAAATCATCCAAATGGGCCTATCTGAAAATGGCTTACTCTGTCCTGCCGTGCCTTTCCCATGGAGATCCCAATAACGGCCCTGACCTGAGCTTTCCCCTGTGCCTGCCCCTGCCTCCTGACCCCTGTGGCCCTGCATGGCATGGTAGTCCCCTCCTCTTAGGAAATGTAAGTCACAGATTCTTTCAATGGCACTGGCCCCTCCATATCAGCACTCAGTCGCCTCCATAAATTAAAATCCCTCATGTACAAATGAGACAGATGTCCCACAGCAGGCTGCTAAGTCTTGGCCTCATACCCCTTCTTCGCCCCCTGGATGCAGGAGGCCCCAGGGAGGGTGTGCCTCAGACGAGGTGGAGCTCTGCAGCTGGGACCGACCCTGAAGGAGCTGACAGCTGGAGCCTGTCTGTGAGTGGGGAGCAGGCCCTTCCTGGAAGGGGGCACATGGTGGACCATGCCCATATCTAACACAGAAGACCACCAGAAATAAGAGTGCACAGTGGGCATCAATCAGTCTGTTTTAAGAAGGGAACACAGAGCATCAGTTAATGGAGAATGGTTATGAGAACTTCTAACATATTAGTAATAGCAGAATAATGATAGCTGCTAAGTTTTTAGTATTACTCTGTATCTGGCACTTGGCTAAGTATTTTGTATGTAATATCATTAAAAATTTTTTAATGTTTATTTGTTTTTGAAAGAGAGACAGAAAGAGAGCGCACGCGCGCACAAGTGGGGGAGGGGCAGAAAGTGAGGGAGACACAGAATCCAAAGCAGGCTCCAGGCTCTGAGCTGTTAGCACAGAGCCCAATGCAGGGCTCAAACTCACCAACTGCAAGATCATGATGTGAGTTGAAGTCGGACACTGAACTGACTGAGCCACCCAGGTGCGCCCACCCCCCCAGCCCCCGCTTTAAAAAAAAAATTTTTTTTAAATGTGTGATATCATTTTTTAAAAGATTTTTTTGTACTAAATGTTTATTTATTTATTTATTTGGGGGTGAGGGAGGGGCAAAGAGAGAGATGGGGAGAGAGAATCCCAGGCAGGCTCCATGCTTCCAACACAGAGCCCGACGCGGGGCTTGAACCCACAAACCGTGAGATCGTGACCTGAGCCAAAACCAAGAGTCGGATGCTTAACGGGCCACCCAGGCACCCCCAAAATATTTTAAGTAATCTCTACACCCAATGTGGGGCCTGAACTCACAACCCTGAGATCAAGAGTCACGAGCTCCACTGACTGAGCCAGCCAGGCGCCCCATGTATGCGATACTATTTTTAATACCCTGAATGAGTCTACGTGGTCTACTGATGACAAGGAAGCAGAGGCTCCGAGTGGCCTGTTAACTGGCTGGAGGTCCCACAGCTGATATAGGACAGAGCCAAGATCCAAACAGAGGTCTCTCTGCCTCTCTGGCCTGTGCTCCTAACTTAGACACTTCACTTGCTTCACACCATCGTCAACATGACCATAGTTCACACAGCACACTTGAGCAAATGAGAAAAAGTCTGTCCTCTTTCTGTACGGATGCAGCCCAGTCCTTGGTATGCAGTTTGATGAGTGTGGTGGGTGAATAACAGCCCCCCGGGATGTCCATATTCTCATCCCTGAGCCTGTGGATTTGCCGCCTTACATGGCGAAGGGGACTTTGCAGGTGTGATTAAGTTAAGGATCTTGAGATAGAGAGATGACCCTGGATGATGTGGGTGGGCCCAGTGGCATGCCAGCTCCTTACAAGAGGCAGAGACAGGGAGAGTTAACTACAGAAGACAAAAGGCTGATCTGATGACAAAAGCAAGAGGTTGGGGTGATGTAAGGAGGGGCCCTGAGCCAAGGGACACGGCACCCTCAGAAGCTGGAAAAGGCAAGGTTCTCTCCCAGAGCCTCCAGACGGCATCAGCCCGCCAACCTTAGCCCCGTGGAACTGATTCTGGACTCCTGGCCTCCAGAACTGTAAGACAGCAGATCTGTGGTATCATAAGCACCAAGATAAGCAGCCCCAGGAAGCTGATAAGATGAGCACAGCAGAGTGGATCCTGGTTCCCCAGGCACTCACCCTGCCCTGCTCTGCACAGCAGCCCTGATGCTTACTGGCACTCCCATCCCGGCACACCCCTGATGTAACTGTTTCTGATGACAGATCCTGCTGCCCCGGCTTTCAAAAGGACACAGTGAGCCAACTGTGTTAAACTTGACCAGTCCTGAAGCTTTGTGGGTGAACCTGACTACAGATGGCGCAGCTTTGGGAATCCAGCTGCACTGGAGGCCTGATATCCCACTCATGCTCAGCCTGGGCTACGGCTACCACCCCAATGAGACCAGCTATGACACCAAAGTTCACCTTCCGCCAACGGCTGCTGCAGGTAATCCATCAACTGGGCCAGCTTCTTGGGCAGTGGGGAGAGGGTAACCAACTTAAAACTTGAGAATCAGAAGCCATGGGGAAAAAAAACTTTTTTTGTTACATTAAATGCCTATTTTTGGGTGTTATTACTACTACTACTACTACTGTTATCATCAGTATTATTTATTATCTGGCAACAGTAAGTGAGCACCTACTAAACACCCTGAACTGATATGCACTTATAGAACTAACTTCACTGCAATCCTCATTACAACCCTTGGGATGGGCACTATGGACATTTCCTCTTGCCAGATAAGAACAGAGAGGTTAACTGGTACAAAGTCACACAGCCAAGAAGGGACAGAGTCAGAATTTGAGCCCTCATCTACCTTACTTGGCAGTCGTGCTGACTTGGGAGTGCCTCCTATTCTCTGCTCCAGATCTCAAGGGAAGAGGGCTTTCTTAGGATATCAGGGAGACCATCAAGGTCAGCTCCCCTGGCCAGTCACCTTGGTCTTTCTCTCCCATGACATTAGCCCCAGTCTCCACAAGGCTTCGGGCTGACCTGGAGCCCTCTCTCTTGCAGATGGACTGTCCACGTGGATTCTGAACCCAGAGGACCTGCATTTTGGAGAAGGCATCTACTATCTGACTGTGGTCCCCGAGTCTGACCTGGAGCTAACCCCCACCAGGGACCTCACAGTTGGCATCACCACCTTCCTGTCCCACTGTGTGTTCTGGGATGAGGTCCAGGGGACTTGGGACAACTCTGGGTGCCAGGTAAGGAGAGGACACAGCTCTCGTGGCTGTTCTGCACCCCTCTACAGTGTCTTTGCATATGCTGTTCCCTAGGCCTGGAATGCCCCTCCTCCCCCAGTATGGTCAACTAGATCCTGCCTCCAGTATCACTTCCTTGAGAAAACTGTTCTTAACCCCCGGGGCAAGTCGGATTTCCTGCTGTAAGCTCTCCCAGTACATACATCCATTCCTCCATAGCACTAAACACAGCACTAAGCCATTTCACATCTACTCAGGAGGTCACTGGGATGATGTCTATTCCCTCAGTACACCAGAAGCCCCATTAGTTGGGAACAGTGTGCTTTGCTCACCAATGAGAACAAATGACCATTGAATGAATGGACATTCATTGCTAAGGAACTGAACTCAGAGTCCTTTATTCCTTGCCAGGTGCTGTGTTCCGTGCTCCACAATAACCCTCTAAGACAGTAGGAATTCCCATTCTAAGGTGGTAAAACAAAGGCTCAGGAAAGTCAACAAATTTACCCCCAGATCCCTTGCCTAGTAGGGGGGAGAGCTGGAACTCAGACCCAAGCCCGTCTGTCTCCAGCGCACGAGCCTTCTGTGAGATGCAGCACTGCTTGCCCAGCCCCCCACCCAGTCTCGCCAAGCCCCTGGATGGCACAAGGCTCTATTAATTGCAATCAAATCCCTGTCTCAAGTCAGCTCAGCTCTGCCCATGACAGTGTCCAGACATTAGCTCTGAGGTCATCAGAGGCCATCTTTCATGCATCAGTGTTCCTCTTCCGCCTTCCCTGCCTTTGATCTGCTGTTCTCTCCCTGGGCCAAAGGCCCTTTATACCTACCCTGCATGGAAAACTCCTGTGCTATTCACCCTTCCATCTCCCACTCCAATGTCACCTTCTTGGAAGCATCCAGACATCGGGACTCTCCCTTTCTGGACTTCCACAGCATTTCATACCCTCCCCCAAACAGCAACCTCCACATCTAGCTGAAATTTATCACATACCTGTCTCCATCTAATAGACCGTACCTTCTTTCATTTATTTAACAAATATTTGCCGTGCGCAAGGCAGTGGGGATATAATGGTTAGAAAAACCAGTGAGCTCTCGGTCCAGCAGAGGACACAGCCAAGAAGCAAATGCCACACATAATCAAATGACAATAGTCACAAGTAGTGTAAGAAGCCAGGCCCCAGCAGAGCCACAGAAGGGGACTCAGACCCAAGCTGCTTCCAGCTTTGTTTCTGCTATAACTTCAGCTCCCTTGTCAACTCCTGCCCTGGCTTCTGGCCACCACACAGAGGGAGTTCCCCAAAGTGCCAGGAAGAAACGGGTGCATCGCGACGTCCAAGAGACAACATGTTCCCCGTGCCCGCAATAGAGCCCTTTGTACCTCGTGAACAAGGCCCTGGGTGTGTTGCGACCTTCCCAGAGTCCTCACTCCCGGCAGCTGTTTGATGCCCACGCTGCTGGCCTGGAGTGCCCAGCAGGCTGTCCTCAGAGGCCCGAGGCTCAGAAAGAGGGATGGTGTAGCCAATGGGGGCGTGGGCTCTGCTGTTGGACAGACTTGGGTCCAATCCCACTTCAGCAGGACTGGGCAGGTGACTTTGGGCAGGTTGCCGCACCTCTCTCAGCTTTCCCATCTGAAAATGGGGATACAAGCTGGTTACCACTTACAGTTGGGGCGGGGCCTGGACAGGAATAGGGGGATCAAGTAGTTAGTGTGGGGTCTGGCACAAGTGAGTGCTCCACAGAGTCAAATGGTTGTTGTGTTGGACAATCTGAACACGGAGAAGACAAAACTATATATAAAATGGAAATCAAGGAGACAATGAACATGGGACTTGGGTGGCGGTTGGGTTGGGGGAGCATGAGGACAGCCCAGGGGAGGACTACTTATCTAACTGTAAGTTATTGGAAAGTTCCTAGCTTTCGAGTAGGGTAGGGGGTTCTCAGGACTTACTATGTTATTGAAAATATACACCTACTAATACATGCGTACATGAATGCGGGACATACAAAAGTCAGATGTGGGAGTGTGTCGTGGACGAAAAGTTATATGAATCCAATATATATGCGATGCTCATTATATAGAAGTAGATACAGATAGCTATAGCTATAGCTATAGATAAAGATCCCTGGGGAGCCATAAATAAGTAAACGGGTGGAAAGACAGCACCAAATTCTCTAAATGGCTAAAGAAAGCTCCAAGTCTGTAGACCGCAGACCTTCTCAAGGGGTGAAAGCAGAATTATTGCAAGGGGGCTGAGAATCTCTATTCCTGCTTAAATATTTTCTCAAAGGTCACTAAAGGTGCAACTACTTTAGCAAGGATATGCGCAGATTTATTCCCGGAGTTCAAGAGCCTCTCACGCTGGAAAGGTTGGGAAAGCCCGGGAGGACAAAGATGTAGGCATAAAAAGCCTGGTCCCTGGGCACCCAGCGCTGACATGGTCTTGTCACTGGCACCTGCTTGGTTTCTTCTCTGAAACCATCTCCACTCCTTCCGAGTGCCCCAGGCGTTCCCCTAAGGCCCACGGCTGCATGACAAGCGCTGACCAGGATTGGGAAACAGTGAGAAAAACAATGAAGCAAACACGGAACTAAGGGCCATGTGAAATCTGTCAATAAACACTTGGTGTCATGCCCATGTGACCCCTCTGCTGAGTGGCTTGTTAAGGAAAAGAGACAAGAGTTACCTGCTGGGGCAGTTTGGGCTGCAGCAGGTCCTTCCTCATGCACTGAGCTGAGCGGAGAACTTTCTGCATGCCAGGGTTTCCTGCTCCCCACCCCTCCCACCTCACCACCTCCTGGTAGACCCTGAAGTGAAAAGTGGCACTGAGTTGTGGGGTTGAACATAATCTCTGCCCACCAAATGGCGCGGTGGGGGGTAACTGAAAGTTGACAGAAGGATTTAGGAAAGGACTTAAGTGCAAGGTGTGAATTAAGAACACAGATGGGGGTCCCCAGCCCTGGTCCATTCCTGTCTCCACCCCCACCCCTGGCCCCAATGTTATGGTCCTGTACCACAGGGGACCATGTACCCAAGCTCCATCCACACACCTTGCCCCCCATAGCCACATCCTGCCACCCTCATGCCCAAGGGTGGGCACACCGGTGGCCAGTCCACCAGAGAAGAGTGATCCTGAGGAACAGGGCTGTGCAGGCCCTAGAAGCAAGGGATTCCAGGTCCAGGTCCCCAAACCATAGTCTAGAAGGGGGAATCCCAGGGCCAGGACTAGGGTAAAACAAGTGAGACATCTATGGTGCAAAATTTAAGGAGGGCTTCATCCTCAGGGTCACCTAGAGCCTTTCCCTAGACACGGTGAGTGCTATGTGCTGTGGTGGGCACGTCCCTGGGGCCCCCTGACTCCCTGTCTTGTGCAGACAGGTGCTGCCTGAGGATAGCTAGAGCAGCATGCACTCAAAGCATGAGCCCAGGCGAGGGGCCCCTGGTGCCTAAACCTAAGAGGGTGAAATTTAGGGAGATCATTCCTGGTGCTAAGACACCAATTCAGGATTTAAACATTTGCCCTTCCCTTTTCTTTACATGATTCCCCAGTATCAGTTTTTTGTTTCTTTTGTGTTTGTTTTTTATCTTCAGTGTGAGATGACCGACCACCCTAGCGTGTCCCAGGACTTGGGACTTTCATTTTTAGAAATAGATAAGTCCCTGGAAACCTGAGATGAGCTGATTACCCTGGATGGCCTCTCAGCACCTAGTCTATTGCCTGGCATAGATTTTGCACTCAATACATATCTGTCCAATGAGTGAGCATCGGGCGGAGAATGTAATGGAATCATGTGCACCAAAGTTGTGACAATGGCTGCTAATGGAAGGTGGGGGATACAGGGAACTTCGCCTTCACTTGTAATAGTTCTTTAAAAGGGCAAAGATGACTCATGAGATACACAAGTGCCCACTGAGAATGACGGGTACAAAGATACTTGTTATAGATAATATTGTTGACATTTAAAGACTTTTAGCTAACTAAAAAATCTCAAGAGAATCCTAGAGCTGGTCTCCCCAGGCCTCCTCAGGGAACTTTCCACCTCCCTTGGGCTTTAGTGAGCCAGAGACGTGCTGGCATTCCTACCAGGGCCTCTTTGGGGTTGCAGGTGGGGCCACGGACCACCCCCTCCCAGACACACTGCCTCTGCAACCACCTCACCTTCTTTGGAAGCACGTTCCTGGTGATGCCCAATGCCATCGATGTCCGCCAGACTACCGAGCTCTTTGCCACCTTTGAAGATAACCCCGTGGTTGTGACTACCGTGGGCTGCCTCTGCGTGGCCTACGTGCTGGTGGTGATCTGGGCAAGGAGGAAGGACGCTCAGGATCAGGCCAAGGTGAGGTTGCATGGTCTGCAGGAATGGGAGGAAGGAGCAGGGGATGTTCCCTTGCACGAACTTCAGGAGATGGAGCTCAGGTGGGGAGCCAAAGGGCCAGCAGCAAAGCCAGGTCATCCTAGGCAAGCTAGCTTCTCAGCCTCATTATATATAAAATGTCCATTCTCATCAAATTGTCAGGAGGATTATTCTACTGACCATTTATTGAGGATTTACTAAATGCCAGTGATTATCCCATTTAATGCTCACTTCACCTCTAAGAAGATTGAGAGGCCCCAAGACCAACCTCAAGTTCAGCGATTTGCTGGGAAGACTCTCAGAATTCAGAAAAGCTATGATACTCATGATTATGGTTTATTTCAATGAAGGATGCAGATGAAAATCAGAAAAGGGAAGAGTCCAGGAGAGATCTGGCAAGAGCTTCTGACTACTCCCCCAGGAGAGCTGTATGGACAGACGGCATTCTCTAGCAATGGCGTGTGACAGTTCATACGAAGCTCACCTGAGCCCTGGGGTCCAGGGTTTAATGGGGGGTCAGCCACAGACGTATGGAGTGCCCACTGAGTAACTGAGGTCAGTCACTCAGTCTCCAAAAAATCACCTATCATCACCACCACCACCCAGAGGTCAGACTGATACAGCATGGCCCAAAGCCCTCATCATAAATCAGACTGTTAGCAGAGACTACCTGGTGTGGACCAAGGTATTCAAAGACACTCATCACTTGGGGCGCCTGGGTGGCTCAGTTGGTTAAGCGACCGACTGTGGCTCCGGTCATGATCTCACAGCTCGTGAGTTCGAGCCCCGCATCAGGCTCTGTGCTGACAGCTCAGAGCCTGGAGCCTGCTTCGGATTCTGTGTCTCCCCCTCTCTCTACCCCTCCCCTGCTCATGCTCTGTGTCTCTCCATCTCTCAATAATAAATAAACGTTTAAAAAAAAAAAAAGACACTCATCATGCAGGAGATTCCAAGCACTCAGGGGTTATCTTTCAAGAGCTGGCCAAGATCCAGGTCTTTCTTTGAAATGTGCAGGGTATGGACAACCCGGGCCTTCTGAGTCCACCCTTAACCGGACGGTACCCCTATCACCTTACAGAGGAAAAGACCAAAGATCAGGGAGGGCAACTAACTGGTCCAAAGTCACCTCCAAGAAGCCAGAATTCAGACCCAGATCTGCCTGACCATAAAACAGGTCTGAGGATAGAAACGAGAAAAACAAATTGCCAACAACAAAGTTCTGATTACTTTTCTAATATGTGCACCATATCTGACATTTAAGGAGCCTTCAGTAAAATTCTGAGTGTCTGAGTGAGCACATAAATACTTGCAAGGATGCACTGTCACAAAGTTCTGAAATATTCTCCATTTCCCGCCCTCCCCACACACAGCAACGCCTCTCAGGATGTGAAGGTGGCACAAAGCTTAATAAGCTCATAGTTACAACATTTATACTGCTGTCTTCGATTCACACGAGGGATTCAACATTAATACTTTAAGCGCCTCCCCTGTCGCTTGGTTCCCAAGAAAGAGACTCTGCAGCGGAGCTGAGTGTGCAGGGTGTTTCACAAGGAGTGCCTGCGCTCAGCCCTGGAAAGGGAGGGAAGGAGGCAGGACGAGCAGAAAGAGAAGCAGCACTGTCCACAACAGCCCAAGTACGGAAAGAGCCCAAGTGTCCACCGAAGGATGAATGGACAAAGAAGATGCGGTGTGTAAGGACAATGGAGTATCACTCGGCAATGAAAAAGAAGGAAATCTTGCCATTTGCAACTACGTGGATGGAACTGGAGGGTATGATGCTAAGCGAAATGAGTCAGAGAAAGACAAATACCATAGGACTTCACTCATGAGGACCTGAAGACACAGAACAGATGAACACAAGGGAAGGGAAGCAAAAATAACATAAAAACAGGGAGGGGGACAAAACAGAAGAGACTCTTAAGTA